ATTTCATTTCCTTAGTTTTTTTTTTTTTTTTTAGGACAGGGTCTACGGGGTCTCACTACATAGATCAGACTCGTAGTGATCCTCCTGTTTATAACCTCCCAAGCGCTGGGATTACAGGTACATGCCCAGTCTCAATCGCCAGCTCAGCTAGCCCTGGGGGCGGGGCCAGCACAACAGGTCCGGGGATTGAACTGGCCCCTGCATCTGCCTAAGCAGGCACTTTAATCCACTGAGCTATTTGGCTGGCCTTATAATTTAGAAATTAAAAACAAACATATTGACTCATTCAAGGTATATATAGATATATATAGATATGTATGTATATATGTTAAAAGCTGTGGTTCATTGCAAAACCATGTGGTAATCTCCTTGAGGTCAAAACTAGATAATTATGCATTACAGTTTTACCAAGTACTTGAATATCTATTATATTGAGAATCCAGGCAAAAAGCTGCCGGGGCTGTCTCATTACCAACTGTCCATACAACTTGCTTGGCTGTGATCAGAGCTGTCGTATGGGTTCAGTCCCTGGCACCACAGGCTGTGCAGGCCCACCTCTGGGTGTGCTAAGGCAGCCAGAGTCCTGACATGGTGGTGTACACCTGTAATCCCTGTGCTGGGGAGGCTGAAAACAGGAGGATCACTATAAGTCTGAGCTGTACCAAATACATTTTTGAAAAAAGACATTGTGTCCATGTATCCAGTTGTGTAAAAGGCCACATTAATTTTGCTGCTGTCTAAGCTACCCACATAGCTTGTATGTGGGTTTGGCAGCTGGGGAGAGCTCACAGGGACACCTGGCAGTGCTGCGAAGGCGCTGTGGCGGTGGCAGCAGCAGCCACCCTGCTCCTGTCGTTAGCCTAAACGGAGACGAGAGTAAAGCCCTGACTAGAGATCTCCTCATTAAATCCTGAGGAGGAACTCAAGAAGTTTGGCGCTCATGTTTTCCAGTGGTCAGCATTTCCTTTTCTCCAGTAGATTTGAATATGGATAGATTCATTTGTGTCTTTTTTTAATTAGGGCTAAAAATACATGGGAACTCTCGGGGGAAGATGCAGAGGTCCTGAATAGAGAGGAGTAGGGGCAAGAGAGTGAGAGTGACTGCTGCTGACTTTCCAGTCACCCTGCGCAGCCTTGGGAAGGCACCTGCCCTGGCCAGAAGTCCTGCTGTCGTGTCTGGTGGTGGCCTACAGCCTTGTGCATGTTTACAGATCATTTGCAAGTAAAAGAGGGGTGTACACACACACACGATGTACACTGGCCTTAGGAGTTAGCAACACTCTAAATAATCAGATTTTTACTAAGAACTGGAATCAGTTGTGAAGCTAATGTGCATTATATGCTGTGCAGAAATTAACCAAAATTGTTGGAAGAGCAGTGGTCCCTCCATGACACAAGATCCAGTGCAGTTTCCAGGCGACGTCAGGGGAGGCTTGGCCCTGGAGGCTGGCTGCTCATTGGTAGTACCTGTAAATGGGTAGCTACCTCTGGGGTTGGAACACACAGCAGGCAAGGGAAAGACACCTAGGAAAGGGAGAGCACCTCCCAGCAGGCTGTGGTGGCATCAGGAAGAGATAGGAGAATTTGCCCAATGAAATTGTAGCTAGTGTTTGCAGCAGGATAGAAAGGTACATTTTGAACTTTGTGACGTTTGATTTTTTTTTAATTGCAGTGCTTAGTGACCCCCAAACCAGGGCCATATATGATATATATGGGAAGCGAGGACTGGAAATGGAAGGATGGGAGGTAAGAGAATCTGCGCTGGGTGTCACCTGGTGTCCCAGAGAAGTCGCTGAACAGCTACAAAACAAGTGGCCTCATGGGCTGTCCTTGGGAATGTTTGAGACTCTCACTTTCCTTTCCTCACCTCGTGTTGGGTCTAGAGTGGATGTGCTGTGGTGTAACTGTAAAGACTTGAACACACCCACACCCTGGGGCCCGTGCGGGAGCCGGTGGATGGGGACCTGAGGCACGACGGCTGCTTGAGGCTGTGGCTCGGTCCCCACTCGCTCCCTCCCTCTGCTCACTGCCATCTGTGTGTCTCTGCCTCCTTGTGAAGACTATTTAGGGAATGCTCCTCTTGGGAATGGATTGCACACGCAGACGAAGTGAAAGCAGAGAACAGTTGGGAGCTGCTCTATTACACTGCGTAGTGTAAACCTGATTGTTGAGGACTACACCATCAGAACGCTGTCCGCGTGGGGAGCCAGGCAGAGCGAGCGAGCAAGCGTCTGGGAACTAGGCGCCCCGGGCGGGCGGCCTGGCCGTGGGAAGGCAGCAGAGACGCAGACGCCTTCATGCAGCTTGGCTTTCTCTCTGCCGCTGACGGGTTCTGGAGCCCTGGGCAAGTCGCTTGGCTGCCTTGTGCTGAAAAGCGAAAGTGTGAGAACCAAGTAGAAAAAATGAACATAAAAATTAAGTAAGATTTTAAATTGCTGCAGGGACCTATAGGTATTACGCTTCATTTCACTAAAGCAGCCTGATGTTGATCCCCAAGACATTTGGCAGCCTGTTAGTTAGTAACACGGAATTGTCTCCAGGTTTTTTTCCCTTGACCATAGATTTCCCTTGAAATTCTTTGGTCACATAGTTGCACACACACATGCGTGCATTCCTGATTCTTACGTGAACCCTGCCATTGGCCTTCAGGGTGTGGTGAAGGGGAGCAAAACAGGCTGCGACCTTTTCCATGCTGGGCACACTGTGGCTGGGGCCACAGTGGGTTGCTCCACTCTGGGGAGATCCCGTGTGAGGTCCAGGCTTCCCCGTGAAGCACCAGATGCTTGTAACTTACCTGGACTTAGCACACAGTCTCACACTGGGCCTCGCGCCCAGGCCCTGCCCCTCCACCTGCCCTGCATGGCTCTCGGGCAGCCAGGGGCCTCTGGCTTGATGGAAACAGCAGGGCTTAGTTCCCTATAGCTCAGTGTTAAGTCTGACAGCTTAATGTTTGTTTTTATCCAAAAGGGAAATGGGAATACTGTTTTCTTTACTAAATTTTCCCTCATACCTCAGCTACTACTTTAAATTTCTCTTGTGTGAGACGTGGCGTGGCTACACATTTCCAGTGCAGCCCTGGAGTCAGTCACCCACAGCCATCGGCTGTGGTACGTCTTCCTCGTGAGTGGTCTCGGTTCGTGCCTGGCAGCATCACTCCGGCTCTCTGGGAGCACGGGAGTCTCCCAGCAAAATACTGCATGATTTCTGCTCACAGATCACAGTAGCTGCTGCCCTCTGGAAATGAAGCAAAGCCACCCAGACAGCAGTGACTTTAGGAATACCTAGCATAGGGCTGCTGGGAGAGGGGCGAATGACCAAAGCAGGTTTGTGTGTGCGTGCAGATTACTGCAGTGTAACAGAAGCGTTTATCTGTGAACTAGTACACACTGCTCATAAAAGACACGGAGGAAGTGAGATGCTTAGGTGCTCCCAGGTGGTGGACGGACGGACTTGATACTCGTATCTCTTAGTAATTACGCCAAGGAAATAAGGTCATGGTGGGTCAGAATTGGCTTTCTTCATACTGGTGGGAAGTCATTGCTGCAGGGTAAAGATGCCTCCAAGGAGGATGGCGTGGAGACAGCGTGCAGATACTGGCAGTGCCTAACTTGGGGCCAGAGGGCACGGCCCCTGCTCCTGTGGAAAGGCGAAGCCCCCAACCCCAGCGCCTCGCTGCAAAGGCTCCTCAGCCGGGTGGATTATGATGTGCAGTGGCAGCTTCCCCCAGGGAGGGCACGCCAGGTCCTTCATGGGCTTGCTGGTATTCTTAGACTGCTAGACTTTGCCACCTGTGTGCCAGGCTAAACCCATGGGTAGTTGGCGAAGGGTGGGGGCATTGCTGTGCTGTGTGTCTGGCAGGCCTTCATGCCAAAGATCTCAGAGCACGTGGATGTTTGCCATTTAATGGTGGAGGTGAAGTTGGTGCTGCTTTAGCGTGTATATGGCGTGGCCCTATTTTGGCTCATTAGGTAAGTTTTCACTCTTTTTAAGCCTCCTGGAGACTCATTAGCTGGCGGAATGCCAAAGGAATGAGATGTAACCATTCCCAGCTTTTCTTGGAGTTGATAGCATTTGTGTGAATGTTGAAAAGGACATTCATCTTTTTTCAGAATGACAAAAATCTAACTGCACTCAGTGCTTTTAGTGGTGGTGACTCCGCTGCCGCCTGGCCCGGGGATGGAAGGCACATAGGCGACTCTCAGGTGCACGTTCTCCTTACTTCGCTTTCCCTGGCTTGGGTGTCAGTCTCGCAGTGTCTGAGAAGTCGGCCTCTGTGTTCAGAGTCCTGACACGATCAAGACTGAGAAGCAAGAAAGACCCAGAAGTCACATTGCAGAAGAAAGGAAGAGAGCGCCAGGGATGGCCCGGCCCGGCCCGGCCGCCGGCGCAGGAGAGGGTGTCGGGGATGCAAGGCGAAGCTGGGGTGATGGAACAGTGTGGATGGTGACCTGTTAGGTGTGGCAGGCCCTTCGCGTTTGCGTAAGATGTTAACGTTAGAGGGAGCTGGGTAGCTGATACACTGGAGCCTTCCCTGCTCTCTGAAGTTCTAAATAGTTAACGTGAAATTGTTCCGAAATTAGAAGTTAAATAGGTGGAATCACAGAATTTTCGATCCAGACGACCCCTTGGGAATTGTGTGGTTCGTCCTCATTTCATAGGAGAGAACTGCAGCTTCGAGGTAGCTTCCCGGAGGTCACCAGGAGGGAGCGCCCGCTGCGTCACACGGAGAGTGCAGGCTGCCTCTGTCTCTGTCAGTTTGCCGCCTGCCCCTGCCGGTGTCCTGTCGCCTGTCTGCGAGGCGGCTCTTCCCAGCCACAGCAGGGTGGGCCCTGAGGTGGCATCCATCAGCCTAACAGTGTGCTGACCCAGATGCACACGCTGTGTGACACACTGTTTACGCGAGGCAGGGATGTGGTGCTGGCGGGGGCTGTGCGCCCCACTGCTCCCTGTGAGAGTGCTGAGCTCAGGGCCCACGGCTCCCGGGTACCTCCTCCTGGCCTGGTCTCAGCACACGTGACCGAGGCCGCTG